ATATATATTAACTAGCCGAAAATCTCTCCCACCTAATCCCCACATTATTCTTAGATTTACAAGTGTCAAACCATTTCACCCAAGAAATCTTCACCTCACCTCAAAAAAATATCCTCTAGATCTTTACTAACTTCTTCCAATCAATCTGGCGCATCTTTAAAAAAAAGGAATAAAATAGGAAAGCATTCAAAACAGAGTTAAGGAGTGTAAATTCCCCCATCCCTCTAGATTAAAAAACCAATGATTCCAAGAAAGAAGTTGTGTACGCACCAGAGTAACTAAAGGTTCCTAAGTAGATTCCCACCGAGGGTTGTATCTTATTAGCAATCCTAGACATTTGAACCGGAGGGACTCAATTTTACAATAGAGGAAACTATCATCTACTCTAAGAAATAATGGTCAACATTAATCCCAGTCAAACAAATTTTATGAAAATTAACCTCAAGACCTAATATTAGCTAAAAACTCCTTAAGATAACTTTAATAATGTACAAATTATCCACTGAAGGATCTTCCAAGAATAAAAAATTATAAGCATACTAGAGATAAGAGATATCCAAATTGAAGGAACCAACTTTAAACCCATAGAGAAGAGATAGCCCAATAGCCCTTGTAACTAAACCGTTAAGACCTTCTGCCACAAAGAGAAAAAGGAAAGGAGCTAGAGAGTCTCCTTAATTCATCCCTATTTAAATCTCAAGCTCTTGTGATGGGGAGCCATTAACCAACACAATCAAGTTACCATAAAACACACATATTCGAATCTTTGACCTCCACTTATCATTAAAGCCAAATATGATAAACATATATTCCATAAGGATACAACCAATCAAATCCTACACTTTTTCAAGGTCAACTTTAAAGATAAGACATGTCTTCCTATAGCTCTTTTCAAAATCAACTGCCTCATTAATAGTCAAAACTCCATCAAACAACATTTTCCCTTTTAGAAATTCAACTGGTTAAGAGAGATTAAATCATCCAAAACCACACCTAGTTTATTGGCTAGGACTTTGCATACTAACGCCTAAAAAGATCTTACAAGATAAACACAACGAAAATCTCCCAACAAAGACAAATTTTTAATCTTAGGGAAAATGTCATAAAATAGGAGAAATAGCTACGGAGATGGCGATGCAAAATGATGAAACTAAAAAAACATGGACCCCACATCTTCCCTCATCAAATTCTAAGTCTTTTGAAAAACGTGAAGTTAAACAATCAGGAACTCCTTCAATACAATTAGTACCCACCTTCGAGATCTAATATTGAATTCCTTTTACCCCTACTTTTAATTGAAGCATGAAAAAAACCCAAATTAGCATTCCTTTCCTCGAGCCACTAAACTCCTGATCTTTAAGACAACTAAGAATCCATTGCCTTAAGAAAAACGCATAAATCAAGTGTGACTTTAGACCTAGTTCCCACTTCAACATCAGATAAGGCCCTTTGGTTGGCCTACAAGTCCATATTACTAACCATAACTCTGCAATACTCAATCTAGAACTCCAAATTTCCAACAAAAAGAAACCTACTTGTTCTAACCTTTAAGAGTAGATTTAAGAGATATAAGCTTTTATCATTAGGAAAAAGGCCTTAAAACCCGGGAAAAAGGACCAAGAATTAAGAACCAACTCAAGAAAATCTAGGTGAGACAACCATTGGTTATTTAAATAAAATAGTTTAGAGTGTGACAACTGATTATCATACTTTAAAATGACAAGACAATGATTTGAAACATCTCTAGAAAAAGCCCATTGAGTAGTTGTGCCTCACCAACCATCATGGATCAGAGATCAAAATCCTAATGGAGGGGTAGTTAATAACAATTTTGCAATCAATAATATCTTCATTCACCACACGTTAGGATAATTTGAATATTAGGTTTGACATTAGTAATAAATAGAAGAAAAAAACACCCAAAATTCTATATATAATTGAAATTCAACTGAATCATGACTTTAAATACAAATTCATTTGCATAATATAATCATGTTTATACTAATTCACCACCTCTTTTCCTAATAAATACCAGTCATTCAAATTATCCTATCTTATTTCATTTTGTAGATACGATTAATTATTATTTGACCTGAGTATCGCTCTATGACAAATTTGGATAATTCCTCCATCTTGGATTGTATGTATTATTGTATGAGTTATTGTACTTGTTGTTATTCTCAAATAGTTAATAGAAAATGGTTGTATGGACAATCCTCAAATAAATGTGCACCTCCACAAGAGACATAAGCTACTTTAGCAGTTGTCGTGACTTTGACAAGTCCTAGCTGGGAATTCATGTGTTAATGACAATTATCAAATGGATGTGTTGATGACAAGTGTCAACTAGTTGTGTTGATGAAATCTCTCAAATACTTTTTCAAATCTTTATTTATAATTTGTAAAACAAGGTTTCTAATTAAATTGTATATTAATTTTTCTATTACAAGCATAATTTCATTTTGAACACTTCTTGGACTCTTGAGAATTTTGAATTAAATCTACAACAACTACAATTTTATTTCATCAGTAGCCTGAAATTTAACTTCGTTAACAATAAATTTTAACTAAATCAGATAAAGTTTTGAGTCTACAATATTTTGCCAATGTTTCATTTTTTATTTATTTTGGATTATAATAAAATAATTTTATCTCAATTTTTTATACTTATGAATTTCATTTTTATTTTAGTAACCTAAAATTCAGTGATTGAAGAGGTTGAATTAACGGTTCTCTTCATACGAAATTTAAAAAGTGAAATGTTTTAATATTTTTATAAATTAAAAAAAAAATTAATTTTTATATATTTTACACTGTCAATCAATTACTCTCATACATTTCTGCATATCTGTAAATTTTAAATTAACTATATGACATGACAGATAAATATATTTTATTAAATGACAGTATAAAATTATTTTACACTGTCAGTCAGTGCATACCAATTAAACTCATTTAAAAGTTAAAACTTATTATAATTTAAATTAAAATTTATATTACATATTAAAAAATAAAAATCTAAAAATAACACTTTGTTCATAAAAAAGAAATAATAGAAATGTTTGGTACAATATATTTGAAGAGAATCGGACAGAAATAAAATGAAGTAACTTTAAGAGTAAATATATCTCTTATATATATATATATATATATATATATATATATATATATATATATTTTCTCTATTGCCAACACTTACAAATCTGCCCTACGCATATTGGAATTTGAGGTTTGGTACATTTCATTCGACGACATTCTTTATGTTCAGTACATAAGAAAACTCCTGTGATGTCAAATATTAAAAAATCAATGTTAACAATAAAAGGTTAAAAACTATGTATTAGATTATGAAAAAAATTTAAAAACAAATTGCAAAAAGGAATTTACCATCTGTTTCAATGATGTATATAAAAAGAATAAGAATAATAACATAAACAAACTTTAGAATTTCAACCATATTTTTACTTTGTTTTCTGAAAAAATATAAATCTGTATAACTTTATCTTTTCGTTTTATTGTGTGAAAAACTTTATTTTCCGATTTGAATAATTGTTACGCGTCTCTTGATGGTAATTCTAGTTTAATAATACTTTAAACTTATTGTTATATCGTTTCTCTTTTACCATTTCATAGTAGAGAAAAGAAAATCCCAAAATAAATAAATAAATAATAATAATACTTCACTATTATTGTTATATTTTTTCTCTTTAACCATTTCATAGTAGAGAAAGGAAAAATCTCAAAAAAAAAAAATAGTATTCGGTAGAATCAATGAGAAAACTACTCGAAGGAATAATGCATTATGCTGTGTAAATACATATTTATTTATAAATTAAAATTTTATAATATCATTAAAAAATCTGAAAATTTGCAGTAACTGAACAAAGGGAATTTGCTTTTTCAAGCAAAGAAAGATAGATATACCTTACTAATAACCATGGTGCCTTCAAAACACTCAAAGATCCACCATTACCAAGTCAACCTCTTATACAATGAGCAAACAAACTTGATTCATCCTCTTGATCAAGACCTAGCAAACTAAGATTCCTCCACCATATAGAGTATTTCCTACCTATCATTCTATAAGAACATTCACTTAGTTGATATATTATATCCCCATACCTAAAGGAGGGAAACCCATTCCACAATGCATCATTCTCATTAAGAAATCTCCAAAGCCATTTACTCGTGCGAGGTAAGTTAAAGAGCTCATAGGGTTTAACACTTAAACCTCCATCTTTCTTATCAAGGCATACTTTATTCCAACTCAATCAATTGTCCTATTCATCTTTACAAAAAAATCACGAAGTTCATTTAAGTTTTATAAAAAAATAATTATAAATATTATAGATTTCTCCACCAATAGATAGAGATTTTGAAATATACAAATATATGTATTATAAATATTAGTTATCATTTTAAGTCCATATAATTTACTGAAATTTTTTATTTTTTATTTTTTAAATATTTTTTATTTTTATATTTTTTTAAAATTGTTTTTTAAATTTATTTTCAAAGAAAAAATATATTAAAATCTAAGTATTTAAATTTAAAAATTGATATAATTTTAAAAAAAATTAAATTTAAATTTAACTAAATAATTTGGGTTAAAATCAAAATCCATTTAGAATCGGTTTTAAACCGGTTTAGAACAAGTGGTTTGGTTTATAAACCATAACCATAAAAATGGATTGGTTCATATTAAATAGTTATCCATGCACACCTTTACTTATTGGCAGTAGAAGGCTTGATAAGTTTGGTGAAAAATGTTATCCTTCAGGAAGATTTCTACCCTTTTAATGTCAATGAAGATATCCATTTTGAGATTTTATAATTTACCGATGATACCATGATTAAAGGAGAAATATCTTGGTCTAACTTTTGACGTATTAAAGTTTTCATGAGGGGTTTTGAACTAGTGTCATGGACGTGTGTTAATTTTCATAAAAGTAAGTTGCATGATCAATTTAAAAGACTCTTTTCTTGAATCAGATTCCTCTTTATGGTAATCCCCCATTGGAGCTAATCCTCAAAAAAAATGTAATTTGAATTATATTCTTAATAAGTTTCATAGCAAGATCTTTGTATGGAGAAGTAGGAAGTTCTCCCTGAAGGATAACATTTTTCACCAAACTTATCAAGCCTTCTACTGCCAATAAAAACAAGAAAGGAAAAATGGGGTCCCCATGCATTAAACCTCTATAAGCATCGAAATTTTTGGTAGGACTATCATTGACTAAAATAGAGAAACTACTAGAAAACACAGACCCATCCATCCACCTAGCACCAAGTCCCAAGAAACCCATAACACTTCTAATATAGTTCCAAAAAACATTATCACATTCCTTTTCAAAGCCAATTTTGGGTAGAAAACACTCCCTCCTAAGTCTCTTGTAAAGATCCATAAGCTCATTAATCAATAGAACTCCATCAAGCATTTTTTTATGGCCAAAGCCTGATTGATTTCTAAAGATCAATGAAGGCACAACCCTCTTTAATCTTGATGCTAGAATTTATACAAGCTATAAACCAAACAAATATGGAAAAAATCACTAACCTCTTAACGATTTTCTAACTTTGGAATCAAAGTAAGAAAGCTAGTTATGATATCTTTTGAAAGCTTTGCATTAGCATAAAATTCATTCACAAAAGCTACAAGATCATCTTTGATAGTATTGCAACAAGTTTTGATGAAGCCCATGTTGAACCCGTATAGCCCAAGACGTTTATCTCCATCACTCAACCAAATTGTATCTTAAATTTCCTCTAAGCAAAAGGGGTCTTCCAGCCTAATACACTTTTATCTACTTAAGCCTTTGAACATCACCCCCACCCCCACCCCTAAGTACAAGTCTGATTTCACTTCCATTGACTTAGGATCTTCGCCCCTTCCTTTCATACTGCTTCTTAATGGCGTTGAAGTCACCCTAATACACCATTCTCACACTAGAAGCCTAAGTTTAAACTCGTAAACCTCCTCCAAAACATTTTCTTATTAGCTAACAAACAAGAAGTATAAATATTAACTATGAAGTAGCAACTACTTTTCCATTTCACACCGATGCCCACATAACCTTCACCTCTAAAAGTAAAATTCAGAAAAAATATATCTGACTTCCACAATATTAGAATCTCTCCAGACCTCTGTTTTTACCACTTTACTGACCAATCCACTTGTTTATCTCCACACAATGATGCCACTAGCTCAACCTCTTATTTGATTTTGGATTCCTAAACCAAATAAATATCCACCCTGCAAGACTCGATAAGAATTTGTAGGTTTTTCCTTTTAATTGGATTGATACACCCTATAATATTATAGGACAATATATTCATTAGCAAGCTCTTAATTTACCATCCCTTAACCTTCTAGATTCTTATCCTGAGCCTTTATAGCTTTGATTTTTTTTATATAAACTCCATCCTCTTTAACTCCTTAAATACCATACTCCTTTGCATTTTTCCAAGTTAAAGCCGCCAAATCATTTATTCGTCGTGCCCATAATCTATTATTTCTTTGGAAAATATCTGAATAAGTAATAGATTCAAAATACAAAATCTTTCCTCCTGAAAATTCTCCTTGAAAGAGAAACGAGACATTAACTAGCTTCCTTCTTGGAAACATGGTTTAGATTATAGATATGGAAGAATAGGTTCTTGAAAGCTAAACCCGTGTCTCCTTGGTACTTATACCAGTAGTCGAAGTCGAACGCCTAACTTCTGGAAGATGCAGTTATAAAAAAGAATAGAGCATCCTTCAAACTTGATGCATACTCGTTTATCTGCAGGTATGAAAATATCACCCAATATGAAGATGATCCCACCTCAAATGAGGCTTCCCTAACAACAGCCTCCTAGGTATAAGGGAAGAGTGTCTCCTGATACTCAGGGTCCACCCAGGAGTAATCATTCATGTTGGTTGCCACCACAATCTCTTCCAATTGAGTGAATCATGCGCCTGCATTACAATTAAACTATGTTGATCAACAATAATAAGGCCTCGAAAGAAAGGGTTTACCCCAAGAAAGTAAATGGAACAACATGTTTCTAGCATCGATATGTCAGACCAGATAAAATCACATTTATATTCAGTGTGAGCCAGAGAGGTGACGCAGACTGCAATATCGTTCATCTACGAATCATCATCATTATCAAAGGAATCTAATCCCGGTCCAGAGTTACCTAGAGGCATATCTAGGGAGAGTATGGGTAAGTTTCAGCCGTAGAGAAGTTCCACAAATTCGGGATTCACCACTCCTGCAAACGATGAATACTCTTTTCTAGTGAGCTCGAAAGCATTGTTCATGTGTGCATCATTAACCATAAGTATGTGCATAAAAAAGGAAATGGCATACATGTAAAGGAGAAAGGGAGAGAAGGCAAGATCATAAATAAGTAAACAACGGAATATCAAAACGATTGAGTAAGAGAGTTAATAGACATAACCCGAAAGAATAAATGAGTGGAGAATAACATGAAAGCAAAAAAGAACTTTAGAGGAAGGACATACCTTTTATAAGGAAGTCATTTGATAATCAATGGTCCAGATAAAAAATAGGAGAACGATCTAAAGGTAGTGAGTCAATCGTCCCATCAGAAGAAATTAATAGCCAAAATATTCAAGTACTCTAAGTAGGGAAACCATCCCCTAACCTGTACCCCTAGGGTTACATGCTTGGAGTAAGAAGAGAAAATTTCAATAATGGGAAAGCATTTAATGTGCATGTATCCCACTACCTTTCAATTGACTCCAAGAGTTTCCACTTTTAATTTGAAGCAAACAACTTCCTCTGGGGCCGAGCGCGACTGATAAAGGTGTCCCTGACTCCTTAACTCCTATCAAACTTTGGGACAACTATTTTAGGTCGGCCAAAGGATTAAATGACTGAGGCCCAAAGTAATGTCAATCCAATCTAAATGCCCCAAGATATAAAATTCATCTCATGTGAAATGCAAGGTATACTCTTCTGATATCCACTTTCACTACAATCATCTTGAATCATGAGCTGACTTCGATGTTGGAGTGTTAACCTTGCAGGTCCATCCTGTGCCTCCTTATTGGAGATCAACATCTTCGATTCATGATTCTTTGTCACTAGCTTACCCATAATCCTGGTTCCATAATGGAAAATAAGCTATTGCGAAATCATGAAATTTTTTAGTATTATAGCCATTAGAGTTGTCAAAATGGGCTAGTCACTCGAAAAATCATAGGGCTTAGGGCTTACAATTATATCCCATATTTTTTAGGATTTTTTTTAGCCTAGCCTTAAAAAACCTGTTACCCATTAAGGCAAACCCGTATGGATTGTGGGTAGCCCATTAGGTCCTCATAGCTATAAATTTTCTAAAAAATAACACATTGATCTTTCTCACCTCACTAAATTTTATCTCAATTCTATTTAATCTTTCTCTTTTAAATCTTATACATTAATATAATCAACACTCTTTCTTCGTATTCTAATAGCTTTTCTTTTGTTAAATTTTTTAGTATTATTTTATTCAATTTCGACATGTGTTTTATTTAAAAACACATTATAGTATTTATAAAAGATGTTATTGTACTTAAAAATGTATTGTGTTAAAAATAATACGATTTTTGATTTAATTTATAATAATATTATGGGGTTTTATTTGGGTTAAATATGTTTTTAGTCCTTATAAATATGTCAACATTCAATTTTAGTTCCTCTAAATATTTTCTTCAAAGAATGGTCCTGTAACATCCTTCTAAACCCCGTGGAATATGTATAAATAATCAGAGTAAATTATCATGTATCTAACATAAGGGTATCACATACAATTTCAAAATATCACACATACATCTGTCATGCTCGATAACACTTAAATTAAATTCATGTTTTTCATACACTTTCACATGACATGTAGCAGCATAATCACTTCAATCATAATAGATATAATGAAAGTCTCATGCTCATCTCATTCATAATCAATATTTAGGCATAAAAGTCAATACTTCATATAATTCAAAATAACAATAGCAACATAAAGTAGAGTACATAAAATATCTCTCCAAACATGAACCGAAATATCCCAACGTTACATGATCAAAGCACGACTCGATCCAAAATAAATAAAGAAACTAAGACAAGCTACTCCAACGACTACCTCGCGCTGGAAGCAACTCTACTCTTCGGTACCTGAGCGATGTCGTACAAAACATCATTACAACAAAAGGGTGAGAATTCACATAATTATCGAAATCATAAGATAATGTGTAATTTAATACATACAAGTATAATCACAATTATTATTCTCATACTTCAAAAGTTTCATCAACATAGTATCACTCAAGTAACCGTACTATTCTCAAGTATATACATACAATCCATAATTTCACCAAATCAACATTTCACATGATACACATAATTTCATATTGCAACCATAGACACAATGTGACTCGATGCAAGACTCAAATGCAACTCAGGCATGTGGTACCAATCACTTATTATTATTTTTTTTTTTTGTTTTTACATTAAATCAGGTCCACTCCCTAGACCAAATAACACACAAAAACTCATTCCCTAAGCTTTCAAACTCCGCTCTAGATTTGGGACAAGTCACTAGCTCCCACGGAACTAACAAGCATTGCCTCTTGACACAAATAAGACCATACACAAATCTTAATATCCATGTATATCTTCAATAATTCATCACACTTGAATTAGCACACAATTGCATACACAATCACATTTTCATAATCAAGACATTCTTACTTCAAACATTACCACTACACATAGTAAGTAATTCACAAGAATCAACACAATTACACCACAATTCTCAAAACACACGATACCGATTAAACATAGAATAATTAATTTGTCATCAATAATTAACTCAATATCTAAATAAATAATCAATAATTATTTAATGTCCACTAAATATTCAATATTTAAGATAGATATCCAATATTAAATATAGTTACTCAATATTAAATATAGTTCCAAAATATAATATATATTTTCTATAGGGTTTTGTAGTATTGGATAATCACATGTTCAATTTCATTTCCTAATCCCCTCGCTACAGTTCACGAATTAATTAGACACTACTTTTCACTTCCATTAATCTTACGCTACCGGGATGAGGTGAGAAAAGAGGGTCATTATTTTATTATCCTATCACTTGTTCAATGATTTATTTGGCTCAAAAGTAGAAAGTGATAAGTATCATAATTATGCTAATATGTTTTATTCGTTTCATCATAAAAGAAGGTAGGGCATTACTTGGATTGCCTTGAAATATATATATATATATATATATATATATATATATATATATATATATATATATATATATATATATATATATATATATATATATATATATATATATATATATATATATAACTAGTATGAGAAAAATATATTCTTTGTTTCAATACTTGTATCGCTACAGCGGTAGCAGTAAGTGTAACACCATTTTAATTATTTGATTTTTTACGGTGTTATTTTTATTTATCGGCATGCTTTGTGTGGGAGTGTTGAGAAATAAGGGACATAATGTTAATATCATATAATTGATAATGATAATAATTGATAATTAATATTAATATTGATATTATTATTATTATTATTATTATTATTATTATTATTATTATTATTATTATTATTATTATTATTATTATTAATATTAATATTATGAAGTTTTATATTAATTTTGGAATTAAAAGAAAATGAG